GATGAGATGCAGCGGAAGTATCTGGATGACCTTTTCAAGAAGCATTTCTGGCAGTGGAAGTTTGATGTGTTGCGGGATACGGAATGAGGTACTGCTACCCCAGAGGAGGATGATTGAAGTTGAATTGTATTTTTTTTTATGAAATAAGATTTTTAGGACTTTATATTTGATTTTAATTAATAAATTTATGTTATATGGATGACTATTAATGTTTACATTAATTATAATATGTATTTGAGATAATAAATTAGTTTTGTTAATTAATTTGGTAATGTTTAATTAGGTTTGAGTTTTTTATTTAGTTTAAAATAAAAATTTACATTAGATAAAAAGAAAACGGAAAAAAAAATATGCATTTTGCGCGACCAAAATAGTATTCGTCATGCAACTTGTTAACATTAATAAATTATAAAGTAAACAAAAAAAAATGTAGACTTGAGCGACAAATGATATATTAGTCACGCAAAGTGTATTTGCACAACGAACACTGTATTTGTCGCGCAAAATCATTCGTCCAAAAGTTAACTTTATAATCTGGATTCAGCTGCAAAGGCAGAACTGCAATAAAATTGCAGATTTAGCCTCTGCACTCCTCCCCTTCGTTTTTCTTCAATCCGACATCTGTCACTTCCATTTTCTCTCAATTTCATCATCTAATACTCCATCCAGGTTGATCAAGCTATCTCGGTGTGTCTGGTAAGCCTTTTTTTTTTGTTAGGGTAAAATTATTAATGTAAATTCATACTAAAGCCATGAAATTTGTTATCTATAGGGATAGTGTGTGATTAGAGATTGGTGGAGAACGATTTAGAAGGTATTTTCTTTGTTTTATTTTTAAAAAATATAAAATTAATTAAATTATTTTGTTATGTTTATATTGTGTTGTGAAATTATATTAATATTATGTTGTTAAATTTGTACGTGACGTACAAATATGTGTTGTGATTACAAAGTTAATTATAATTAACTTCGTACTTTTTTTTTTTGAGTAAAATTTAGTTTCCCGTTCGAGGATTAGTTGGATTTCGTGCATGGATGCGAAAACATGACTGCGGTCCAATTGATTCTTGAATTGTCCCATTATTTGGACACTTTGGAAATGCATAGTTATGGCGCGTAGTTTATGGTTGAAGGATTAGGTTTCGGTTGTCGGGATTTCGGTGCCATCTCTATATGTTCTTTGGGTGGCACATAGGTATTTCATATCTATGTTTTCCATCTGAAGAATTTACCGAGATGCTACCGAAATTCCTCCACATCAAAATCTAATTTGATGTAACCATAAATTACGTGACTTAACATTGCATTCCCGAATGGGATAGGGCCCTTACCTGATGCATAAGGTGACAATATCATTTGTATGAAGTTGTTGTGATTGTTGTACTATTATTGTAGTTGTAGGAATTATGGACAAAATGTGGATACAAAACCCGAATAGATACGTTGACGAATACTTGGATGGAATTGAGGATTTTATTGAATTTGCACGTACACACAGCCCAAATGCAACTAGAATTCGGTGTCCATGTAGAAGGTGTAACAACACGTTAAGGGACAATTGAAAATGTTCAATTTCATTTAGTAAGGAATATAATGGTGGAGACCTATATTACTTGGAACCATCATGAGGAACAATTAGACAATGCTTCGTCTTCAAACACCACAAAAGTGGGCAATGTTGAACCTATTGTGGATCCTAATGAACAAGTCATGGATATTATAAATGATGCTTTTCCATTAGCATCAACAAACACCAATCAGGAAGGGAAAAATGACGTGCCTATAGCAATGGACAATGCAAAGTTCGAACAATATGGAAAACTATTAAAATTGCCAACCAAGAGTTATACCCGGGGTGCGAGAGCTTCTCGGTTCTCACGGCCATTGTGAAACTAATGCACGTAAAAATAAAGTATCGTATGTCGAACTAGTGTTTCAACTACTTTTTGGGGGTTTTCAAAAGAATGCTTCCAAAGGACAATTGTTTGCCGGAAGACCATAGACATGCGCAAAAGGTGTTGAATGGTCTCAGATTGGGTTATGAAAAAATTCATGCTTGAAAAAACAATTGTATTTTATTCTTTAAAGAGAATAAAACATTGGATAAATGTCTTGTATGCAATGAGTCGAGGTTCAAAATGACATCTGAGAATAGAAGGACTAAGATCCCACAAAAAGTCATGCGTTATCTGCCCTTGAAACCTAGGTTGCAACGATTGTATATGTCGACACATACTGCCACTAACATGAGATGTCATAAGGAAAAACTTGTAGAAGACGATGTGATGAGGCATCCTGCAAATGGGGAGACATGGAAAGAGTTTGATCGAACGTTCCCCAAGTTTGCTGCTGATCTTCGAAATGTTAGATTGGGATTTTCCATTGATGGATTCAATCCATTCGGGGTTCTAAACCTACACCACAACACTTGGTTGATTTTCATATAATTTGCCGCCTTGGAAATGCATGAAAAAGAATATATAATGATGACTCTTTTGATAACTGAGGATCTTGGTAAGCTAATCGATGTTTACTTAAGGCAGTTGGTTGATGAGTTCAAGGATTTATGGACAAACGATGTGTGCATGTACGATAAGTGTACTAGGAAGATGTTCACTTTGCAAACAGCAATTATGTGGAATGTGAATGATTTTCCTACATATGCAATGGTTTCTGGGTGGAGCATTAGGGGTTATATTGCCTCAGACCTATATAATGGTCTGGTGATCAGATTTTGGAACAGCTTAACCGTTTGGATTTTGCTCTATTCGAGAAAACAGTGAGTAGGACCAGACCTTCTACACATATGAACTGAACGTACAAGTCTATATTTTTTAAGCTCCCGTATTGGTTGAAACTAAAATTGAGACACAACCTCAGCATTATGCATGTTGAGAAAAATGTATTTTGACACATTGGTGGGCACCATTCTAGAGATCGAGGGCAAGACAAAGGACACGATCAAAGCTCGTCTTGATTTGGAAAGAATGGGCGTACGGAAGGGTTTATGGATGAATAGAGACAGTGATAAAGGCAGAAGGGATCTTGCGTTTTTTTCCATGAAATTGAATGACAAAAAAGAGTTTTTAAAGTTTGTATCGTCTGTAAAGTTTCCAGATAAGTATGCTTCTAATATCGCGCGTTGCGTGAATGTTGACGGGGGTAAATTTGCTGGACTAAAGAGCCATGACTGCCATGTGGTTATGCAATGCCTACTTCCTGTGGGTATTCGACACCTATTGCCAGAAGATGTTGTGAAGCCAATCATGCTGTTGTCTAGATTTTTTTCCCAACTGACGGCAAGAATGTTGCGAAAGACGGACGTTAATCAGTTGCGCCATGACATTGTCCAAGCCCTATGCAAGTTTGAGATGATATTCCTTCCAGCTTTCTTCACAAGTTTGATCCGCGTGATGGTTCACTTGCTGAAATAGGCATTGCTTGCTGGTCTTGTCAACTATTGCTGGATGTATTCAATAGAAAGTTATATAATCCTCATCATTTGTTTATTCATCATTAACTCATGTTTACTAATTTGTATTGTATCATTTTATTTTGGCAGGCTTCTCGGGGAGTTGAAAAAAAATGTACGCAACAGGGCAAAGCCTGAAAGATCAATTATAGAGGCTTGGGTTCAATATGAGTCGCTTACATTTTTTGAAATGTATTTAAAAGATGTGGAGAAGACTATCAATCGTCCTCAGCACAATAATGACCAGGGTGTGAGAAATGAGAAACTTTATGTTTTTGCCCAATGCGCATGACCCTTTGCAGATCCTATACTAGGCAAGTCGTTTTCCAAAAATGACATGGAGGTAACGCACTGGTTCGTACTGAACAATTGTGACAAGACAATGGTATACCTAGATGAGCATGAATAGATGATGAAGCAAGAACATCCATCACATTTGTATGCCAGGAAACACCGTGAATTGTTTCCATAGTGGTTTCTCAAATATGTAAGTTATAAGTGTTTTGTGTTTGACATATATATTGTAGTATTTAATTTTCTCAAACTAACATGTGTATGTTTTTGTATAATGTTAGGTGAATAAATTGAAAGCATCAAATTCCCCCACTTACAGTGAAGAGTTATATACCTTGGTGTTCGGACCGATTCGTGCTAAATTGTTCTCAGGTTGCCATGTTAATGGCATCAAGTTTTTGAGGGCTGCACAAGATGACAAGTTGTGTACGCAAAACAGCTGTGTCCATGTCCCAAGTGAAGGAGAAAGCACGGATATTGATTTCTATGGCAAACTAACAAGTGTTGTGCAATTGCTTAACAAAGACCGATGTCAAATGATCATGTATAAGTGTCGATGGTTTGATACAAACCCAAATAGGCATGGAAGTGTTAAAATCGACCATGGCTTACTATTTGTGAACACTAACAGAACTTGGTACAATGATGACCCTTACATTGTGGCAAACATGGCAAAACAGATTGTGTATCTAGATGACCCTAAAGCCAATAGAGGTTGGAAAGTTGTTCAAAAGATGGATCAGAGGAATGTGTATGCTATACCAGAACAAGACCCTATTGACGACGACGTCGACAACGTCACTAACCAACGTTTAGAATCTTCAATGGAAAATGATGCGGAAACATTTCGAAATACAAATCTTATCCAAGAACCGTTTCAGATACAAAGAGTGGCTTCAATCGAAATACCGATTCAGTCAATTACAATTGACCTCGGTAATCTTCCACGATATGATGGTGTAGTGGGCCCGAACGATGATGATAACATACCTATCGAGGAGGAGGTTTGGGAGACGGAAAGTGATGATAACGACGATAGTAAAAGTTATTATAGTTCGAATGATGAATAATGCAACTTATTTGTGACTTGCTCTGTAAAACATATTAAATGATATTTTTTTTGTAATTTATTTATCTTATGTTATAAATAAATTGTTTTTATCTGAATAAATATAAATTTAAAAAAATTTGACCCGGGTAAATTATATTTTCAACTCATTGTGCGACGAACATGTAGATATTCGTCATGCAAATTGTGCGACGATTAAATTCCTTTTCGTCGCGCAAGGAGCTGAAAATTTGACATTTTGTGCGCGATGAATATATTTCTATTACGTCGCACAAGAATCTCAGGATTTAACTGAAATCGCAAACACTTTCCCCTCAGCTCTTCCTCTAACAACCCTCTGTAAATCCTCTCTCCCTCTGACAACCCTCTCTCTCACTAAATCTCTTTCACCCTCTCTGCCGCTCGCCACCTTGGACTCTTTCTTCCTCTTCCGACAGCCATCTCTCTTCCTCCTCCGACAGCCGTATCTCTGAGGTATATGCACAATTTTAGGATTATTTCATGCTTTGATTATAATTAGGGTTCTAATCTGCTTTAATTTTGTATATGCACAGCATGGGAATGATTATTGACCTAGATTAGGGTTCTGTGCAATAAAGATTGAGATACCATAACAAAATCGACCTAGATTAGGGTTATGGCACATTGGCTTGAATTCTCTCTATTTGTTAACCGATTTATATCTGTCTTTGTGTTCAAGTTTTTTTAGATGAATATGTTCATCAGATGGTTCAAAAAAAAGAAGAGGAAGATTAGATTTGCATTAATTGAGCTTCATTTCAATCATTTCAGTGTCATTTTCTGTTGTTGGTGTTTGTTTTTGCTTCATATGCTTGTTTTAATGATGGTTTTCTCGGGTTTTCTGTTCTAAATTTGCCTGCTATTTCAATTTTAACAATTGGAGCTACTGGGGTCTGCTTTCATTTTATCACACTAGTTTAATATACTGTTGCTAGTTGTATATGCATTCAATGTCCTATTGCTAGTTCTATAAGGAGAAACCCCAGAAATGTCTGTCTTCGGGTATTCTGTTTCCACCAGTTTGTGACGAGGACGATGCTAATATACTATTGCTAGTTCTATATGCATTCAATGTCCTTAATTTGCAGGGATTCCTACTTTTAGAAATTTTAGGGAAGAAGCCAAGCAAATTGGCATCTAGAATATCATAGAAAAAGTTGCTATGGCTTCATTATATATTGATTTGATCGGTAAAACTACTTAGATAAGGATTGAAATTCAAAAAAGCACAATGTGCTAGTAAATTAGTACATGGAAAGTTCTTACAAAACAAAGTACTTCAAAGCTGAGATTAATAAGCTCATATCCATATATAATTAAACTTGGCCAACTTGACTAGGTGGGATAAAAAGAACCCAACAAGCTAAGTTTCTGGATCAGTTCTGGCTACTCTGCTAGCTCTATTTGGCATGCTATATATGTACTATATATAACACCACCATCTTTATTTGATTTTCCATACATATATAACTTCATTCTCTCTTCTCCTTCTTCTCTCCCTTTCTTCTTCCCTCTTGCCTTTTTTTTTTTTTTTTTTTCAGTTTTCCTTTCAGTTCTGTTTCGGTTTTGGGAGCTTGGTCTTCTTCCTTCTCTGAGCTTGTCTCAATTCTTCCCTGAGCTTGTCTCAGTTCCAGGCTTCATGCCCTTTCTTGGGCGACCTTCGCTCTTTCTCCACCCTCCCTCTTTTCCGGCCGTCCCTTTACAAACCCAGAACTACTTCTTCCCCCCCACCTTTCCTCTCTACCTCATCGCCTCATAACCCACCCGCACCCCTTCCTGGGCTCCGACATGTGTGCGCCGAATCGAAAATGGTTGCCAGATCCATCTCCCTTGCTCACTTCCCTCCCCCCAACCGGCATGCCGGCATCCCCTCGAGGCCAAGTGTTATGCGGTTCCGACCAAAGTAAGGGTATTTTACATACCCCTTAGCCTCACCTTCTATCCATGTGTTCCTATGTTTGTTTATATTTGCAGGGATTTGTGATGGTGTATCAGATATGGTAACCATTTCTCGGTTTGGCGTCTCCAGTGTCGACTTTTGGTTGTGGTGTACTGTTAGTTTCGGGTTTGTAAGTTTTCTATTACAATGTCTTGGTCGAATTGACCTCTCGGTTGCTTTCTCTAGTATTGCTGCTCTAGTGGCTACTGGCAAGACGTTCGTAATATCAGCAACGGCGGCGGTCTGCTTTTGGAAGTTAGGGATTAGGGTTTTAATTTTCGTTAGCTTCCTTTTTAGGCTGGGCTTTATGTATTTGATTCCCCCGAATTTGCTTTGGGTTATTTTTCCTTTCCGTTTGGATTGGCCTGTAACCTTTTTTACTTAATGAATGTTCCTTTTTGTCCAAAAAAAGGTGGTGAGTTCACATAATACGTAGAGCAAACAATTAGTAATAAAGTGAACCTGCAGAAATGAGACATCAACGTTAACGTACATATTAATTATGCAGAATAAACACTAATAATATTCTTTATTAAGTAATAAGCCCACATATATATCATACCCTGCCACCAATTTCCTCTTGAAGCACTGTTTGCACTATTCCCATTTGCATCGTCCTCGTCACAAAGGGTCCAAAACACCAGTTTCCTCTTGAAGCAATTTAATTACCCTGTTTTTCTCTTATACTTGCTTCGGTATTATTTAGAACTCCTTTTTGAATCCTAACAATAACTTGTTGTGATTGTTGTTAGTTCTTTTTAGATACTATTTCTTTTCGGAACTTGAGTTATTTTATATATGGTCGGTGTACTCTACTCGTCTGGGGATCTATACGAACTTCATGTGAATCAACAGTATTCCTGAAAAGTTTCAAAATTTATATGGTGTCTAAGAATTGAAATCTTCTTATTCAGAGATTGTGTATCATAAACAGTTGATGTAACTTATAACTAACTTTATATCTTGCTACTTATGAGTTTACAGTTGCTTAATGTTTAGTATTTTGAATTGTAAGCTGCCTCATAAACTTTTCGCTGGGGCTCCCCCTACACAACCTGTTTATCTTGTTGGTTATTTTCATTTTATTTATTCAATTGGATGTTCGATATAAAGATGAAATCGTGAGTTCAATGTTTCAATTATGTCTAATAATGTTAGAATTACTCTCAATCTTGAATATTTTGGTTTAGTCAAGTTTAGTCAATAATAGGCTGATGTTATATGGCCTTTATTGCAGTAGCCAAGAGTGTTTTACATTGATTTTCATGTATTGGGTTACCCGGTTATTTAGCATTTAATGTTAATCCAATGTATGTTTAGGTTGTGTGTCTAGAGTTATTAGTTACATTTATGGCCTTTGAAAAATTCTTTTATGACACGATTGATTGGGTTTAGACAATTTCCCATGAGTATATGTTTCTCTCTAGGAAAACTTGTGCATTGGTATTTTGAAAGAAAGGGGTGTTGGTATTTTGAAAGAAAAAACCTTCTGTGTATTGGTATTTTGAGCAGCCCCGATACCATATTATTTGTGAATTGGATTGAATTTCTGTTCTATTTTGCTCCATATCACAACATATATATGCATTGATTTTTTTTCTTCTAATTGTGTAGATGTCACAGCTTATTAGAAGTCGTAAGACGGTGACGACTGCACCCCGTTCGATACCCCCGCCTCCTACTTTATCCACCACTGCTCCAGCAGAAATGGACCTCAGGCTGGTTAATTTGATTGATCTGGTTGGTCCCTGGGTCTCCCAGGTGTTGGCGTCATCAGTAGCGCTACCTATTAGCGCCAAGCATGGTCACCACCTCCCCCGCACACCCGACACGACATTGGCATCCACTATTGATGGCTCGGAGTCACAACAAGGAAAAGTTAAACAACGCCCCGCACGCTGATAACCGTTTTTTTTTTCTATAGTGCCTTGGTGATTTCTCCATATAGACTGTTCTATGTGATATTGGATTGCCTAATGATGCTGGGAGGGTGGTTATTAGTTCTTTGTAGGGAACAACGTGTCTTTAAATGTTTATTCAATTTTCTTTAGTCCTGAGGTCAGTGGCTACCGTGCATTTATCTAATTCGATTACTTGTTCAATTTTTTGGTTTGATTTTTGCTGCTAGTTAAGATTAAATATTTTGGTTAATTAAATTATGCTCTAATCAATCTCTGGACTGGAAAAAGCTCACTGATTTTTTGTTCTACTTAGTCTTCGAAATTTCGTTTTTGCTGCTCGATCTTTTGTTTTTCTGCTTAATTACGAGTTTTACTAGTTTAATTTTGTTCAAAATTTGAGCTGGAGTTGCTTTAAGTTCGATCTTTAGTTTGTTAGTTGGGTAAGTAGAAGGAAAATGTGTAAAGCTGATAATTTAGTTTTCTCTACATGTCCTTTATATAAAGGATTTTCATCTGAATGATCATGGTAGGCGTTAGGCCGTTAGTCTTCAAGTATTGAAGCAATTCATATGGCATTTGAATTTGCTACTTAAATTCCCAGGTTCTACTATGTAATATTTCACTTGGCATCCACTACTGAAGCATTCAACTGTTGTGATTGTTGTTGGACATCATATATTATTAATTACAATGTACAGGGTTTGGGAAATGTTCTAACTTTAGGGGAGGTTTTCCCGAAATTTCAATATAATTTGTAGTGTTTGACTGTTCTTTTTTTTCAACGAAGAAAAATACCCGGGGACCTTGTCGCTAGTTGAAGACGGTGAAGGTCACCCAGGTGACGAACAAACGTATCACGATTGGATTGGCTCACGACGTTCGAACCTATTGCCCTATGCGATGGAAGTCTTGGAAGGCGATGCCAGAAGAGGTGAGGTTGAAGGTGCACGCTTATTAGTCGGTAAGTATCATGCCTTAATGTATGTAATTAATTTGTTACATTGTAGATGAACTACAATTTTGACGACATCAACGACAATATGTTGGCGTACGTCAACATGCTCTTCGTTGAACGGTACAAGCAGTGGAAGAGCGACCTGCACCAATATTTTCAGACATTTGATGATTTGCATGTCGCTGTTAAGAAGGGTTACTCGAAGGAGTTTGAGGATTGGGAAGAAAATTGGGTGTGGCTCTGCAGTCATTTTCAGGAGCCCGGCTATGTGGCACGTTTTTTATATTAAGTCTAAAAGTATTTTACGTTTCTTACTAATGTTTATTGATTTTTTAATATTTCATTTAAATTAGAACTAATACGTTTATTTTTTGTATAACAAAAGAATGTGAAAGCCAACAAGATCAATCGGGAGAAGAAGACTCTTCTCCACCATTCGAGTTCGAGACCTTTCTCATATAGGATGGAGATGCGGCAGCAGGTAATAATAAAGCTTTTCATATTCAATTTTTAATATGTCAATAATATTTTTTTTTTCGTACTAACATTTTTCTTATCTTGTTCTATTCAGGGGGTTTCAAAATTTCCAAAGATCGACGTCTTTGCAGACGTTTATGTTTGACCCGAGGATGAGTTGGCTGAGTCCCTTCATGTAAGCATTCTTCAATTGTAACTACCATCTTACGCAATCAAGTATAATGGTTATTGTTTGAATGTTATTATTAATATTTCATGTTATATTACACATGTGAATATGATAGAGAAAAGGCAATTGGTTCTTTAGGAGTCCGTCTCCCAGCTTCTTCCCGAGACTTCGTTCGAGTCTGTGGATCCCCCCGAGGATGCGGGGTTTCAGATCCTTACAGACACCTTGGATCAGACTCTCGGGTGGAGGTCGGGGACGTATTGTAGGGGGATGGGGAATGCCCGGTGGCAGGAACCTAGAGCCTCTTCATCCTCGCAGTCGAGGGTGAGGTGACATCTTTGACAGTAGAGGTGGCCGACCTTAGGACTGAGCTCGCCTCATATAAGAGCCATATGTCACTGATTGTATAGGCCCTCATTCAGTCCGGCATTTCTTTCCTGGATATTCGTCCCCCGTCAACGTCCGATCCCCTCCAAGCCGAGCATGCCCAAAACTCTGCCCCTTCGACCCTTGAGCCTGTCCTCAACCCCGAGCCCTTCTTGCCCCAATCTTTTCAGCCGCATGCGAACGACGACCCCGTAAATTATTCCACCTTTTTTTCTTAGTTGTTTAGTCCATTACTTTTAAAACTTTTTCCTTGGACATACATTTTATTTTTATTTTAAATAATTATTTTTCTCTTCATTACATTTTTTTATTTCAATTTAATTTTATTATTTTATTTCAAAATTAAAACTAGAACAAAAAATCTAATTTAAATTTTTTTTTTTTTTGCATGACGAATAGCTTCGTCGTGCATACTTTTTTGCAATAACTCACTTTTGTCGCGCAAGAACAATATGTCATTGCACAAAGTTTTTAGAGACGAATATTAGTCGTCCTAGGTTTGTGTCTTGGCATTTTGTGAGACGAACATATTTGTTCCTAAAAATTTGGTGTGACGAATGAGGAACCGTCGCGCTTTATTTTCCGCAACCAATGCTTTTGTTCGTCACGCAAAGTCTTTCTTTACGATTTTGCAAGATGGGTTCTGTTCGTCGCGCATACGTTTGTGAGACACTATTAAGCTTTGCGCGACCAATTTCTGTTTGTCACGCTAAATGTTAAGCGTGGCAGTGACATCTAAGACACAATTCGTCCCAATTAATATATTTGTGGCTAAATATGAGTGCTTTGTGTTCCAAAGGAATTCCAGTGCCAGCTACAAAATTAATTTTTTATATATAAAATTTATGAATTTGTGACATGCAATTGCATACAACAGTACGTAATTAAATTGGTTTTATAATCTTATATTCAGATGATATACCAAATTAACACACTTGTCATTTGTCCAAATGGGTTTACAACATGCTTCATACATTTAACTAATTAAGCCCCTTGACTCCCTTCATGAATTAATGAATTGCCGGAGGATATCTTGTTATTGCATGTAACTTTCCTTTCACTTAGGGTCTCATGCGCCCTACCAACACATAAAAATTGATAAATCATAGAGAACCCAACATTTTAGATCTTTACCAACAAAACATTTAAGATTAATGAATGTGAGAGAAACTAAAATCCAACACATGGCTGAATTTGCATGGACTATATTAGTCAGCCACAAAAAAATTTCTGATACGAGTCTCTTTCTCTGATCTTGCGAAAACCACAGTGCTGCTGCGATCTTAATCTGAAATGGGGCTTTCCCACATAAATTTGGTTAATTTGAATGCAGGAAACAGATTGTGTTGGGAAAGTGGGACAGGTAGAGGTGGGTAGACATGGTGGGTTCATTTTTATCTTTGTGAAATTAGGGTTTTGATTTTTCAGCACCACACAACTGCCACAAACCAGTTTCGTATCTTTTCACAAGTTGCCAAATGAGGTGGTGGAATATCAAGAATGTCTCCTGGAGCTCAAACTATATGTCTCCCAAGTTTGCTGGTTTTTGTCCCAATTATATATGTCACTTGTGGAATTAAAAGACGTTAAAATTTAGATTTGTTCACAACATCACATGCATTGTTTTCGTCCAAACGCGGGCTTCTAACCACAGAAATGGTTATGATCAATGTGACTGGAAAAAAAAACATTAAAAAGTAAGAAATTCGATTAAAAAATGTGTTATGGTTGAGTGTTTTGGACTCCCTGCCCCTATTATACCAAATAAATAATGATTTAGAGATGACAGTAACATCAAAATAAATTATTATTCATCAATTATTTGATAATTAATTAAGGATTTAAAAAAAATATGAAAAAGTTTGAATACTTATTAGAAATTTGACTTATAGCAATTAAATGATTTTATATTTTGTCACAAGTCTACACACACACACACACACACACACATTACCCTATTTTCATAAATAAGTTAATAGAGAAAATTCTCATCTCCAATTAAAAAGTCAATACAACTTGTAAAAGATTGCTCTCTTTATTTTCTTTTGCTGATTCAACAATAACTATCAGAGGGAATTTGAGATAAACCATAGGACTCAACAATAATAGTTAGGTATCGAATTTATCGTTCATGTGAGTTAAACTTGCAAGCAGAGATGAATATCACTACTCTAATAACATGTTTACTTGCAGTCGAAGAAACCATAAATCAGAACACATGAAAAAAAAAATAAGGATGAAAGGGAATATAAACCCTTTCCGTCGCTTATTCCTTGATTTTTATTAAACACATGATCTTAATAGATACTAATTTCTTGCAATTCCATTTTTTTAAGTAAACATATGCCCTAATATTAGACTGACTTAATTCAAATGTTGAAAATAGACGTTAAATCTGAAAATTACTTATTTGTCCTTGTTCAACATTAACTAACCCTATAGCCTGTGTCTCGGGTTCCCAAACGCCCCAAGTTTCTGTCTGCAAAACCGTACAGAAATTAAAAATGACGCACAGCACCAAATTTTATAGGATTTTCACATCCTTAAGGTATTAACCCCATTAGGTTTCGCTCTCTTTGCAATATGGCCCCCAATAAGGTTACCGTTACCGCATTGAAGCGGCATGTTATGCTGGAATTTACAATTAACGCCGTTACGGCATCCGTTGGAGCCCTTAAAGTACTTGCACTGTTTTGGCTTCTTTGGTTTCTTTCCTACTGGTTTAAAGTTTGGTGCCATTTTCATGTCTTTCGAGAGATTAAATTTGTTACCAATTTGTTTTTGTGCAACAAAGGGGTACTGGATTTCTTGCTTTTCCGCTCCATGTTGCATGATGAGGTTCTTACAGTTGTTGATATTCTTCGCCGGAAGGAGCAGGGCTTCCTTGACTAAGAATGCCGGTGATGGAGCTCTGTTCGGATAAGTCATTGCACCGATGGTGGGTTGTGTTTGAATTTGATTTGGCAGCCTAGGTAACGTGCCAAAGTTGGAATGGGTGACGGGCACGGGTGGTGATGGTGCGGGTGGGTTCAACCCGGACATTTGAACACTACCTGATTGAAGAGGGATCGCATTCATAGTAGTTCCCAGTCCCACCGTACCAGCCATAGGGAACAAGTTTCCACCAGCAGTCGTTAGCATATCAGTTTTTGGAAGAGATGAGGGAACTGATGGAACTGTTGTCCTTGGCATGGGTGCAGGTGCAGTAAAGGAGTTGGTTGGTGCAACTCCTAGTTTGGCCAGTGATCCGGGTTCGTTAATCAATTTCTGGATCATTTTCGGGTCATTTAGAATTTTAATGAGCAAATCGGTATCGATCAAACTTCCTTTCTCTGCGCTTTCCACGATTGCAGTCAATGCGACTGCAGCAGCAATCACATCCGCATTTTGGCTAGGTAAGTTTCCTAGTGATGGTTTATCATCGGCAATTTGCTGAGGAGACGCGGGCAGACCTTGGGGCAAGGCTGGTGGCTTACATTCTACATCGGAATCCAAGTCCATATCAGATGATGGTAAATTCTGGGACTCTTGTTCAATTTCTTCAATTGGAATAAGGGGGACAGATGGAGTGAGGCTATCGTCACAACGCTCAGCTTTTACATCCGCAGAAACAGAGGGGCTGTTTAAAACATTAGAGCTGATCAGGTTCCATTACGTAAAAGAACAAAGGACTATGAAACATACGTCCAGACACAAGATGGAATGCTTACTTAGGGGGAATTGCAGAAAGACGAGGATAAACTGCTTCGAGCACTCTCGTCACTCTCAACTTTTGAGCCTTGACTTCCTCACTTTCCTCACCGGCTGCTACTTGCCAGGCCTCATTCATGACAAACTGTTCAAATAAAATCAACATAACACCATTGAAATGAATAACTCGACTCAGATTACAGACCATATATTCTCATCACATGCATACTTGAACAACAATTTAGAAAAGATCTAACGCCTACTCACCTTGGAAGGGCATTTCCATTGAATCTGACGGAGGAGGGGCCGTTCCACTTTTGGTTGTCTCACTGGAACACAGCGTTCAAACCCAGGGGGAAAATCATGTTCTATAGGAGCTGAACGCGACATATATGACGCCTTTGCTTGAAGATGATTTTGATATTTCACGCCAACAGCCACAGGACAATCTTCGGAAGAGAACAGCTTTACCTATCCAACAGAAAAACATCGAGTCCGGTCACAATGAACAGATGAATGAAAACAATCAGTAGCATTTCCCACAAGATATTGGAAAGATAAATTTCGAGAATCGAATTTATACAACTAGAAAAAGCATCCGACTGCAGGAAAATGTTGAAACGACGGTTCAGCATTTCATTATATGTCCTGCAAATTTCATGACAGCTCAATCTTGGAATTCAAACATCAAGGAAAAACAAGCCTGATAATTTGCATCTCCTACAACTCTTATGTAGATTAAGTGGTGAGCTATTACCTATTCAAAAGCCTAGGCGTTAAATCACCCCTCATTATATATTACAAATTTATTCAAAATAAGTTACCCATCGCCCACCACGTGGACCACATGCATACAAACTCACCAAGGGGTTTACCAATCCGCCCAAACTACAACATGTGGTGGGCGACGGGTTACTTGCTTCATGATGAAGTATTAATAAATGTACCATTGGTGGATCGTAACACCACGTGATGGTATTACTCAAGTGTGTACGGATAGCCACGCGATGTCATAAATTGTACACATCATAACACTAAAACAGGATTTAAACCTGCTGATTCTTGTAAGATCCTAGTTAGTAATTCTGTTGATCATAAATACAGAGAACAGCAGTACAGTTTCAGCAAGAACTTCATCGTGTACGATTTTGTTGCGATGAAATCAAACTTAATCCTAATGATTCATGGTATAATCCTATCGATTCTTGCTCTAGATCCGTTGATTAATGCTATAACTCTGTTAATCCTTAGTATAAACTCAATTTTAATTTTTTTTTTACAATATTTTGGATATTTGGCCTTGATATTTTCATTAATCCAAGCTTTTGTCCAATATTGCAATAAATTTCCTCTTTTTTTGAGTTTCAATGAGTTTCTGATGATGATTTCAAATGAGTATCCAAATCCAATTAGAAAGACTAAAACAAGTAAAACGATAATTAAAAATTAATAACCAGAAGCAAGCTTTAATCAACCATATCTTAAGAGTTTTAGTTTCGTTAATTAAATCTGGGAAAATAATCAAAGGGAAAGAACAAAACTGATCGATTGGAGTACTTTCTCAGCCGCCAAACAGAAAAACTCGAATCGAAAGAAAGAAGGAACAAATTGTCTGGGAAAAACGCAAGAAAAGGTTTCAGAAGAATCGGCGATTATACCTGACGAAGATCGGGTCCAGAAGCCCAAGATACCGAATTCGATTTCCTCGACCGCTTCAAATTCATTCTCATAATCTCAATTTACACAAAATTCTTCCTACAAATTTGTAAAATTACCGGTCCGATTTATACAGATTTTGGAAATTGAAACCCTAATTTTTGAAACCGGGAAGAAGATTAGAGGCGATGCGTCGTCGCTTCGAGTGTGGGTGGGTGTTGGTAACTTGGTCGTCTTATATGAATCGAATTGGGTGACCTGGTTTGGGGGAGCGTCTAATTGGTTGTTTTGGGTTTTCCAAATTTTTTAAATTTCAATTATGACGTCATATTTGGTAAGACCCGCGAAAATGCGGTAATTCTTATCTGGCCTTTCATATGACCCTTTTGGGCAATTTATATAATTTTCTTTTTTGAATTTTTATTTAAAATGATCTTTGAGATTGATACTCATCATTTTAGTAATTGATAATAAAAAGAAGGGATTCTTGAATTTGAAAAAAATATATTTAAAAAAGTGGTCACGCGGTCGAACATGTAACAATTTAATGAGGATATCGACATATTTTTTACGAAAAAACCAAAATGATTTACAGTGGACAAACTCAATGACTATTTCTATCGATTCTCATTATTAAGGACCAAAGTGAGTAGTTATGCCAATCACAATGACTATTTTGGATAAAAAGCCTTTTTTTTTTATGGATTTTTATATTTCCTTGAGGGTTGGACAACTTGAAAATACATTAGTTTTGGAATTAGATGGTGTAATTTTTTTTTTTATGCAAGTGATATTAGAGGATAAGAAGTTCGAATGTAGAATTGAATGCACGAATACAGTTCTAATCACTTGAGTTACAAGTCTTTCACAAATTCGTATGATATTTGGTTAACCTAATCTCTTGAAAATGTTAAAACACCTTTTGTCAAAATAGGTAAAACACATTACATTTTCCAAGTTTATTGAGAAGATAAAATACATTGTACCATATGTACTTATTTTCCTTAAATTATCTTTGTCCAAAGACACCACGTCGACAATTAAATATTTTGAGGTCTCGTGGCACCTTCGCAAGTCAAAGCATGCCGTGGTCGAAGGAGAAGGAAGCTAATATTCTACGTTGATGCGTAAGTAAAGAACGTGAAGAACACACCCACACTCTTTGAAGATTTTGACAAAAACCTTTAACCTAATACTTGATTGACGGGGTATACAGTTGAGGGGGAAGCAGTCAAAGGTGTAGACGTAGACCCGAGGTTTAGACACATTAATTATATAAATGTGCTCCATTTCCTACACACGTTACTTTGAATCTATTTCTCTGAAATTTAGATAAATTTATTATAATTATTTTATCATTTTGAAAAAAATAATAATAAAATAAAAAATCAACACCAACTTGTACATTCTTTCCATTTGCTTGATATTACTTTTGTAAGCCTATGATGTTTGGTTGAGTTGATAATGATTGTTCTATTTGCTAAATCAGAACTTAAATTCGAGTCCCGCTGTTAGCAATTCCTCTTGGTTGGTGATCCGTACAAACAAACAAATAGGTTGAAAGTCCCTCTATAAGTTCTTAGAAACTTGTGATATGCACTGTCCCTGGATGTGGATAGGCTAACCTTTCATCCCCTAAACTTTTCAGGAACAAGGGATATTATTTTTGTAAAACTTTGATGTTTTATGGTTTGGCTTTATGATGAAATTGATGTTCCACCATAAAACCAATTGGCAATATGGAAAGTAACCCAATACCATATAAGCACATAACAAACCTTGTCCCTCACCGATGTGGGACAACTCTCAACACGCCCCCGCATGTGTGGCTGATTTTCAAGCCTACATGTGGACAACAACTGAGTGACTTGGAGCGCGTGTGGCCATTTGACTTCACACGAGGACAACCTGCTCTGATACCATGATGAAATTAAGGTTCCACCATAAAACCAATTGGCAATATGGAAAGTAACCAAAGACCATATAAGCACATAGCAAACATTGTCCCTTACCGATATTGGACAACTCTCAACACTTTAGAACTTACAAAGGGGATTGATTTTTTGGCTCAGAACTTATGTTCCCTTATGTTCCCTTATGGGGAATGCACATCTTTTGTTTTTTCTGAATAATGTATATTTAGTCTACAAATTTCATAATCGAAATATTTTACTTATTAATTTTCATTTGAAGATCATTTCTACCAAAAAAATAAAAAAACATTCAACTCGGAGATCGTTTAATCATCTAAATGTATGGAACAAATGAACAGTGTTAGCACCAAATAACATACTCATGATAAACCGTCAATTTATTTAGGGAATTGTTATTAGCACTCCAAACTTTCTATATTAGGAAAAAAATACACTTGTGAGGAGTGTATAATGAGATTTTTGAAGTGCCAATAACACTTCCCTTTATTTATACATATTTTGATGACTAAATGACCTTCAATTCAAGTAATATTTTCATAGGGATGATCTTCATACAAAGATTAAGAAATTAAATGGTTTCAATTATAAAGTTTAAACGGAAAGATACCTTATCCGCAAAGATATGTGCATTCCCCCAATAGGGAGAAAGCATGTATTATTCTATTTTCATTGTTGGACCATGAAGTGAGCTTTAGACGTGGGTGAGCTGAATGTGTTTGTCAATGTTAGGCGTAATATTCATACTCGTTTTTCCTTTCTCCAATTAGGGTAAAGTGTTGATTTAATCTCTGAATTATCACCTTAATGAAAATTAAGTTCCTAAATTATTTTTTTGATAAAATAATTCCCTAAATTCATTAAAAATGGCTAATTTCATCCATACTATTTATATTCAAAGTTATTTCATCTATTTTTTTGTCAACGTAAATCACTTAACATACTTTAGAGTGTAATACCGGCATTTTCTCGCCTACAAGCTTTTAACTTTTCATATAGGTTGTGAATCTAACGTCTAATTTATCATTCAAAGTTAACTCTATACACTATTTCTTTATGAAAAATTACCAATCCACACTCCAATGCGTATCACATGCAAGTAATGCGACTTAAATTAACGGAAAGTTGAATATAGTAGCTTCAAATCTACTATTAAGAATGTAATTGTCAGGTTTTTATAATTCAATGACTGATTTTTTTGAAAAAAAAAAAGTTTATGGACCTAATTTTTACTCAGGTGATAATTCAAGGACTAAATTGCCAATTCACCCTAACAAAATGCATTGAGCTATAGTCCTATGCCTTTATGGGGGCAACTTATAGGAGATCGTATATCGTCACGTGACGATTTGTATAAAACAATAATTTGTGAATAAAAAATTTACACATGTTTATTCATTGGCATAAGATGGCACCATAACGATGTATCCATCGTGTGAGTCTTTCTCTTTTCTGGAACCATGTCTTAATTCGGCTTTGTTCAAAGAAATTGAGAAGATAAATCATGACATAACAAATTTTTTATCGGAAATAAAAGCATATATGAGTAATTTTACATAAAAAATTTGTACTTTATGCACATTTTCTCTTAATCTTGGCATTTGATTTTTTCTTTAGTTTGTTCAAATCCAACATCTAAAGACTAAAGGAATAGAGGTTGTGTAAGGAGAAAATTACATGACACGAACATATGATCATTCTATCGATTTGTGTCAATAATACAAACATGTAGACAAAAAGTGTTATGCTCGTAAATTCGCTATTATATATATATAATAATAATAATAATAATAATAATAATAATAATTCACCTTGTTTACACCTTTGTTTTACTCTTTTATATAGGTTTTACATTATATTTGTGTTTTGTAGGTTGTAACAAGCAAAGAGTGCAAAAGGAGCTAAAAAGGCTTTTACAATCCTATGTCATCAGCATAGCCTCTGCAAAGCAGTCGAGTTCATGGATTAAACTATATTGACTCGGGAAGAACTAGGAGATGTACCATATATGTTTGGAAAGTTATGGATGTCTATTTTCCGTAGAATTTTACGGTTCTTGAATAGCATTTTTCTTGAGAGAGTTATGGAAGTTTTAGTACATAAATGTCGGGCTACGCGCGAATACAAAGTTTTCTACAATTGTTATCAACCTGGCAGATTAAGGGAGGGTTAAAATTCCTATTTATTAGGAGTTCTAACCAGTTGGAAGAAGCCAAAAAGTCTGGAAGGAAATAAATAAGAAGACTAATAAGATGGGACTTTAAAGCCCATTGAATTATAATGAAAAAAGAAGGCTAATTGCCCTGTCGGTTACAACTAGAAGGAGAATGAAGGAGGATCCCTAATCAGACCAACAAGGGGCATGAGATATAAAAAACAGAGAAGGAACAACCTACGGTAGAACGGAGAAAAAGGAAGGACCTGAGCACCGTTCTGCAATTCGTCATCGAAGAGTTTCTTCTTCTCCTTTTACTTCCTGTTTTGTTTGTCTTTACTGCCCATTTAGATTATGAGTAACTAAATTTCATAGTTGGGATTTGGTTGAAGTCCTAATCATGTTTCCTTGAGTATTTTCGATACACTTTGTTACAAGACAATTTGTTGATGCTTTAGTGATTAATTCCAGTTTTAATTCCAATCTTATTTAGTTATTTTATGATTTATCACCATAGAATAGCTTTGTAATTGAGTTCGTTACATGGGTAAATTTGGATGATCGAGTCTTGTACCTATGCCGAGTAGCAAGAGAACTAGTTATGGTTCTTGGAATTAATTATCACGAATAACCGGAATAGATACCATGTTCTAGGATTCGTGTGTTTATCGATTTCCATTGTATTATGCTTTCTCAGAGTGCAACTTAGTAGATACCATACTAAATACTTTGAGAATGAAAAGATTTAGCGTAGACATCCATGCTTAATTCGTTGTTTAGGGAAATCAATAGCTTAAAGAGTAGATGCCATGCCTTTAGGTTGACAAACATTAAGCATCAAAAATCTGTTTTGTATCATCGTGTGTATCGGTTGCTTAGGTGAAAAAAGGTTAGAGATGGAAACCAAAGTCCTAACCGTTCAAACATCGTTTTCAAAACCCTTAATGTCAATTAATTTTATTTGCGTACGTTCTTTATATTGTGTTTTTATACTTAAATTTAAGACATCTCAAACTATTTTGTTAAACCTTTATGTGCATATTTGCTAGTTTTGTGAATTAATTAATTTAAATTGTTAGGAATTATACTCTAGATACATATTAGTGCAATCCTTGCAGGAATGATCTCGTACTTGCTTTCTATACTATTTGTTTGA